GCGCGTTTCTCCCTGGCAGGGACGGGCCCCCCCCCCGCCCCCCCCTGGCAGGGACGTGGACAGAGAGTGACCGCGGGGCGGTGGAGTGCCCGAAATGGCCGAAGATGGCTCCAAAGGAACCGCAGGCAACCCAAGAGAGATTCCGAGATCGCTCCAGATACTTGCAGATGGTACAATTTTGCTTCCAATGCGCCTCCAAGCCCCCTCAAGACCGCTTCGTGACAGCCCACAATTGTCTTTCGAGCTCTTGAAGGAGGCCTCCAACAGGTTCAACTCCTTTACAATCACTGTGCGCTTCAATGTGTTCCTTCTCGCCTTTTTGCTTTCCGTAGTTTCTAGAGGCCTCGAGATGGCTGCGAGTTGGTTTGAACTTGCTTTGAGAGGGGGCCATCAGGGCCCAACTCGGCTCCAAGAGCACCAAAGTTGGGCCCAAAACGCTTCGAGGGCGTCGCAAGAGGGCCGCATTTGGCGACTGGGGGGCTCGAGAAAGAATGGGGCGTTGCTAGGGCCCCACTTCTTTGACCGACGGCTTCAAGATGGCCCCAGGAGGACCCCCAAGGCTTCCAAGAGGGACCCAGGAGATCCCCGAAACGACCCGAAGAGGGCCCCATGGGGCTCCAAGACAGCCGCCAAAGGCAGCCAGAATTGCCCTAAGAGAGCGCCGCGGCGGCACTGATATGACGACGTTGATGGGGCGTCCCGCAGGCACCTAAAGCGAACGACTCGAGATCCTCGATGATTGATGCCCGTCGTCGTCAGCGTGTTTTTTTCCTCTCTATCCTTTATCTTTCCCTTCCTTGTCCTCCTCCTCCTCGTCCCTCTTCTGTGACCTCCTCCTTTTTTTCTGCCCCCTCCCCGTTCCTGTGCATCTTCCGATTAATTACTCCTGCGCCCTTTTCTTTTCCCGAATGTAACGGTTGTCCTCGTTTTTTTTCTTGCGCTGCACGTTGCTTCACTTCGCTGTCATGCTTAGCGCAACTTTCTTGGGATTCGAGTCTGCAAATGCTTTCTTCTGCATGTTCTTGCCCCTCCTATTTCCCCCTACTTCCTCCTGCTCCTTGATCCCCCCACCTCTTCCTACACCCTCGCTGGTGAGGGCGCGCGGCGCACGCGCGTTCCGCACGGATCACTGGTGCGCCTTTTGCCTCCCTCAGGCTTCTTGTGCTTCTTTCTACCTCCCCCAAGCTCCTCTCCCGTATTCCTACCTGCTCATGCTCTTGCGCGTTTCCAGTCTTTCCTATCACCATACTCCCTCTCTTCACCGTGTTCGTTATGATTTCCATTTCCGCCCTCCTCTCCTTTGCTCCGCTTCCTGCACCTCCTCATCCGCGAATGCGGATGCGGCTCGCTATTTTCGCCGCTTGCCCGATTACCCGGCCTTGATCAGGGCGACTCGCCTTGCGGTTGTTCATGGATTGGCTCGTGAGGATTTGAGCAACGCGTCAATGACTTCACCGGGCGTCTAGGTGTTATTGTTGGCGCCTGGGCGTTGCCGCTGGGGTTTGCCACGGGCCAGTATGATTTACAATTGCAGCTGGCGCGTTGGCAGGCATTCGCCTTCCTGGAGACATCTGTCTGGTTTCGCAGTGACCTTCTTTCGCATTGCTCTTGTTTCTTTGCCTCCAGTTTGCGGTTGTATGTTTGTAGCCCTTGGCTGAGCTCCATCAGACGGCTATAATTCCGCTGCCCTCGCTCGATGCATGACCGTCCCCGTGCGATGAGGAAGAATCAAGGGCACTGAAGACATTCGAAATTCGCTGGCCACGCGGCATTCACACGAACGCCCGAGCCACATGATCGATTTACGTGCGCATATCAGAAAAAAAGGAAAATAAACATGAAAAACGAAGACGCCAATCCACGCTGAATTCACTCTTAGCACCGGCGAAACCAAAACATCAGTTGCATTTGGAGTGAAAGGTGAAGGACGCTGCAGACGCATCACTTTGTACATATGGCGGACATGGACATCTGAATATATATGACCAAACCTCCGGAACGTGAGCCCGAATATGATCGGAAAACTTTCCAGGATACCGGGACGACGCAATCGTATATCTCAACATTCTTTGGGAAATGGAACACGTTGCCTCCAAGCGTCTCTGTCGGCTCCAAGGCCAGCGCCATCTCCACGAACATGTTTCAATCTGCGAAGGAAGTCGTAACACTACTAGCCGCTACTCCGCATAATCTGTGGATCACACAACGGACTCTCCACTTGATTGAACAAGGGAATGCATGCAGGCTCCGTGGGGGTACCACGGACGAGGTAAAGGTCTTGAACAAACACGTTCAAACTTCCGTACGTGCAGACTGAAAGAACCGGTTGAAAGATGCAGTTCGATCTTTACGAGAAGGCCGCCAACCACAACATGGAAGACTACGAAACAGAAACGGGGCTCGTGGACATGGAAGACAAGGCGGAAACCATGGCAGCGCATTTGGAAAAGGACCAATAGAAGCTGTATGATGGCCCAGAAGAGTTCCCGCATGTGGAGAGAGGCCAACATTATTTAGACATCGTCGGAGAAATCAGCTCAGAAGAACTACGACGAGCAGGTAAAGTCATACGAAGAGAACAAAATGCTGGAAGCGACGGCGTGCCACCAGACCTATGGCAGGCATTATGGGTATCCGACGAAGCGCTGGGGATACTTTGAGATCTGTGTAGCGAGTGTTGGTGCCAGAAAGACACACCGACAGAGCGGCGTGAAGCTTTTATTGTAACTATAGTCAAGAAGGGAGACACATCATGGCCAAGCAATTGCAGACCGATTTCACTACTCCAAATTGGTTACCAACGTATTGGCAACCATGTTGTTGCACCGCTTGAATCAGGGAGGTGTGGAAGACGCGCTGAGGGAATCGCAAAATGGATTCAGGCCAAAGCGCGGAACTTCAGACGCTCGTTGTCTGGCTGGCCTGCTTATCGGCGCCGCCCTGGAAGACAAAGACGGATAACTTCTTCTACTCTTCGGCGAAAGCTTTCGACAGGATAAAGCCAGAGGGGCTTGTACTTGCGCTTGGCCATTCTCGTGTCCGACCGCCCATGGTCGACATGATCCAAGCAATCTACAAGTCCCGGACATTCACTGTCAAAGACGGCGGCTCCAGCACCCCCCCCAAGAGCGCAAACTGCAGGAATAGCAGAATGCTGCCAGCTTTCACCGCACCTGCTCACCATAATCATGTCGGAGCTCTTGGAAGCGGTGGCCGCTGAACTGGCTGGCAACCCAGACAACTGCACGACCAAGTCACATGTGGTGACAAAGGAATTGCTCTACGCGGTTACGCGGACGACACAATATTGTTAGCTACTTGTGCGGAGGCCCTTCGAAAACATCTAGATGCAATCGTGCGTGTTGGGAACTCGTTCGGTTTGGAACTCAATGCGTCCAAGACTAATAGTATTGAGAACACGGTCAAACGCAACAATCTTTGGACCCGACGGGTACGCCATCACATGTAAAGAACAAACTGTATATCCTGGTGGGCTATTGTCGACGGGAAGCCGAGAGTAGAGCTCACGCGCTGGCTGGGAGAAACATAGGGGGCATTCGAAAAAATCAGCACACTTTGAAACCATGCCAATCTAAGCAAGCAACACAAGACACGGGTGTTGGACTCTTGCATAGCCTCATGTTATTGAGGGCCGGCAGGGGTGGACTTGACAGCTTCCAGGCGAAGTGCGCGCGACGAATATACAAAGTCCAGCCTGCATACATGTATCCCGCGTCAGCAACGCCGAAGTCAGCACGACAGCCAAAGCCAAGAGGCTGCCGACGTTACTATTGGAACGTCAATTGAAGCTGTATGGGAAACTGGCGAGGGTCCGAGTGGAAAGCTTACCAAGAAACATGTTTTTTGAACATGGGGCAATTGGAACAGCATGAGGGCGCCCTCGTTTACAGTGGACATCTTACATGCACGCGCAGGCGTTAGAAATGGCGGAGGGCGCCCGGGACCGCTTGCAAGAACTGCTACTGGGCCCCCCTGCTGAATGGCACAACACCATTGGCGGCTACTGCGTTTGATGATGTCAATTGTTCTTGTCAGAGTACACATGAACCGGTCTTCCTCATTGTCCTCTTCATCCTCATCTTCCTTCCGCTATTGATGCGACGGCAACCGCCGCGCAGCATTTGGTACTCTTGCTGTCCACAGGCGCACTTCGCATCAGCGTCATTCTGCATGACTGTTCAGGCCTTCTATATATACATATACATATGTATATATATACATATATATGTATGTGTGTACAGCGCTTCTTGCCGATGCGCCGTCTGGGCGCGGCTTTCACCTGACCTGACCTGACTGCGCCTCAGCCTTTGGTGCCCCTCCGCACGTCACACGACAAAGACAACACCGAGACAACATTCGACCGGCATGAACCGAACATCTTTGAGGATCGGCGGTCTCATATCGATTCCAGGCCCGTCCGCCAGTCACCAAGTGATTCGGCATGAAAGGACCCCTAACCCTTAGAGAGGCGACCTCATTTAGGAGGGCCAGGGGGTCTTTTCTGCAGATGTATCGAGCCACGCCGCCCATACTCAGAAGAAGAAAAACCGGCATAAACAGGAACTTGTGGGGCTCCGCGCAGATTGCTTAGATCCGCGCTGGACTTCCCTCTCCAGCGCGGCGCGCGGAGCGCGCGGGGCGGCGCCAGAGGCGCCGCCGGGGGGCCCCAGCGCAGATCCAAGAAATCCGCGCGGAACGCCACAAGTTTATGCTTGTGCCGTTATTCCTCTACTTCGAATACTTATTCGCCTTCATGCGAAGACGGGAACCTCAGTGAGGCCACGCTCTCATTCATTCTCAGGAATCAGATGTCGCGTTTTTTTACTATTTCTTTATGCGGGGCCCCTGGAAGTCTCGACTCATTCCCCAGGACTGGTTTTTCATCCTGAGTCGTCCTTTGGCGGTCCCGGGGTCCGGCGAGGCCCCCTCGGATCTCTGGGCATTATGAAGGTTAGGGGGTTCATTTTGTCCTCGACGACCAGGAGCGAGGCCGCCGGAGCCGTCGAGGCGAAGCTCAGGGCGTCGTTCGCCCGCTGGCGCTCCGAGCGCATGAGCCCCCCCCTGCCCGCGTGGGCGTGCGGCGGCGGGGCGGGGCGGACGGCAGCGGCGCCGGCGCGCCTTCCCGCCACCTGCACGGAGCATCGTTTGCAGTAGGAGCTCGACCTTAAGTCGGGCGTGTCCCCTCACAGGGGGGGCTTTGGACGAAAAGAAAAAACAGAGTTTTGAAATGCTCAAAATGATGACAAGAAACATCGTCCAAACATCGTCCCCAAATTATGTTATTATTACTATTTTTGAATATTCCTCCTTTAGAAGGGCAGGCCCGACTTAAGCTTGACCACGAGAAATCTTCCACAAGAAGCCCAACCCGGAGACCCCAGGACGTCCCTTGATTTGTTTGGTGTGGGAGCGTCACGCCCTCCCTCGCAAAGCCATCGAAGCCCAAGAAACCCAGGCCACCCTGGAGGCAAACAGGGTTTGTCTTGGCATGGGTTTCCACCGTGACAGATCCCTACATCCCCACGGGAGTGGCCTGGGCCCCACTGGCTGATTTACCCCCCTGGATGGGGATGCGCACGCCTCTCTTCGGGCTTCGAGGGGCACATCCCCAACCGGGGTAGCGGGATGGTGGGGATCGGGCTGGGGATGGTGTGCAGACGAAGACCCCCTCGGATCCTGAAAAAATCATGGCGGACATGTTCTCGCTCCTTTCGGCCCCTCGGGGCCCCCACTGGGCTTCGAGACCGCCCAAAAAAACGACCCGGGACGAACAACCTGGGCATGGGGAAGAAGGGTCGGGACTTTCGGCGGCCCCGTCTTGAAAAAATCAGGGCATCGCATGTCTGGATACGCGGGAACACAGAACGGCAGAAGCATATATAAGCTTTGGGAACTCCGCGCGGAGCCCGGTCGGATCCATACTGGGCCCGCCCCGCCCCCCCCTCTGGCTCGCAGAGCTGCGGGGGCGCCGCCAGGGGGAGGCGTGCCCAGCGCCGATCCGAGAGAGATCGGCGCGGAGTCGAGCTCCGAAAGCTGAGCCTTCTGCAGTTGGCGGGCTTGTTTTCCACCGCCACTACCAGAAGCAGGAAGGGGAGTGGGAGGGGGTCCTCCTCCTCCTCGTCATCCTCCTCGTCATCCTTCACCTCCATCCCCCCTCCACCTTATGGTGCAGGTGGAAGGCAGGCCCATCACCAGCTGTTTTTGGGTGACCCAAAAAGGGATCCAGCTGAAAGGGGGTGGTGCAATAGATTTCGGGCAATTGTATTACAAAAAGTACTGCGCCGGAGACTGGTATTGCATTGTATTGCCAGTTATGTATTGCACACGGGAATCCAGCAATACATGTGCGCCCCGCCCCAAATCCATTGCAACCCAACAAATCTATTGCACCGAATCTATTGCACCACCCCCTTGTCGCTGGACCCCCTTTTGGGTCAACCCGAAACAACGTCGAAACAGTGTCGGACGAGTGTCTCAGAGGGCCCGACACGTGAAAACCTTAGAGTTTCGGTACTCTCCTGGTGCTCGACATGCTTTCTGGTGATCAAGGCTAAAATAGGCTGGAACATCATAACAGCAGACATGTTCTTAGAACCCACAAATGTTCCAATAACAAAACACATCTTCTTAAACATAATCCGATGTGTTAAAAACAAGTCAGTCCCAGCCAGAAATGTTCTGAGAACATTTCGTGGAAGCCACAAAAGGTTATCATAACACTGTTTGGTACGCCTATAGGCACGCCAGGACGCTTCGCCACTGCTTGAAACACAGAAGCTCTCCAGCAGGTCCTCCGGAAGCTCTCTCCAGGTCCCTCCAGAGATCTTCGGCAGGCCTTCGTTCGCCTTTCCTGATGGGCCTGATTTTCACCACCACCACCACAAGTTGGAGGGGAAGGAGGTCCTCCTCCTCCTCCTCCTCCTCCTCCTCCTCCTCCTCCTCCTCCTCCTCCTCCTCCTCCTCCTCCTCCTCCTCCTCCTCCACCCTCCTCCTCCTCCTCCTCCTCCTCCTCCTCCTCCACCTCCTCCTCCTCCCCTCCTCCTCCTCCTCCTCCTCCTCCTCCTCCTCCTCCTCCTCCTCCTCCTCCTCCTCCTCCTCCCCCCCCCCTCCTCCCCCTCCTCTGTCCCCCTCCTCCTCCCCCCGCCAAGGCGCTTCGTCACTGCTTGACCCGCACCTTTCCGTCGTGCGACACGACGAGCGCCGCGCGGCGCGGTCGCCCCGCCGCGCCCTCGACGAGCTGGGCGCCCGCGGCCCCGCCGGTGAGGGCGAGGAGGGCCGCCCAGCGCGGCGGCCGCATGCCGCGCGCTCTCGCGGCCACGATGGGCCCGGTTTTCCGCCACCGTCACCGTAGGTTGGAGGGGGGAGGGGTTCCTCCTCCCCCCTTCCCCCCTCCAGGGGTCCTCCTCCTCCTCCTCCTCTTCCACCTCCTTGGAGGGGGAAGGAGGTGGAGGAGGAGGAGGAGGAGGAGGAGGAGGAGGAGGAGGAGGAGGAGACGGAGGAGGAGGAGGAAGAAGAGGGGGAGGAGGAAGCCCTCCCCGCCCAACTTCTGGTGGTGGTGGTGGTAAACGGGCCCCTCAGGCCAGGTCGGAGTGCCGCTGTGCGAGTGACCAGGCCCTCAGCGATCCATGGGGCGCGCGAGGGGGGGTGCTACGGTAGGTTCGTGCGGCGTTGGCGCGCGTAAAGGTTTTTTGACACCGCGTCGATTATAATCTTGAATGGATCGCAGCCCCGATTGTTCAAGGTTGAATCCAGTCGGGTCCAATGGCATTACCGTGCCCATCGGTGCTTCCGCGTCGCAGAATTCAACCTTTAACGCCTTCGCTGGCGTCGCCAGCGCGTCAACGCCGCACGAACCTACCGCACAGTGGAGGCCAGTCCACAAGAAACCCAAGCCTGAGACCCCAGGACGTCCATCGACTTTTGGTGTGGGAGCGCCACGCTCTCCCTGGGAAAAGGCCATCGAGACCCAGGAAACCCAGGGCACCCTGGAGGCAAGCAGGTTGCCTCTTGGCACGGGCCTCCACTGCAGGGGGCGGCGGCACGCGGGTGCCGCGCCTTTTCTTTGCGAAGAGCTCTTGAGCCCTGGGCCCGGCACGGCACCGCGGAGGGCAGGATAGCTCCCGCGGGCCAGGCCGGGCCCTCTTCCAGCGACGCAGGCCGGGAGGGGCAGAGCCTGCACCGCCCGGAGGTACAGGGCTCCCCGCCAACCAGCCTGCCAGGACTGCGGGCAACGTCTTCTATATCCACATCCAGTGCGTCTTGGGGCTTCGGGCTCTCTTCCCCAGCAGCATGAGGCGCACTGGCTACGGATTGAAGTCTGGCTCCAAAAGGCTTGATGCTTGTCCATGTCCAGTGCGCCTCGGCCTTGCGGCGCCCCTTCCAAGAAAATCCAAGACGCAGTGGATATGGATAGAAATATTGCCCGCAAGAACGCCATACCTCCGAGAGAGACACTGTCATCCCGGTGGTACTCCTGCGCGGTGGGGTGGAGGAGGAGGGAGGGAGGGCGGCATGTCTCCACCGCCACGGAAAAAAATTATGCTAACGGAGTTCCCCACATAATGATGTTTTTGGGCTAGCGGGATCAAGCAACATTTTGTAGAGAAATTGCCGACCTGCCCTCGCCCTCTCCATCCTTTTCTATCACATGGTTTGCGAATACCCTCCTCGCTCATGCGGGGCTTCCCTGGAGGGGTGGGACGGGCACGGAACCTGATAAATAGCACTGTTCGCGAATACCCTCCTCGCTCAGGCGGGGCCTCCCTGGAGGGTGGGAGGGGCAGGAAATCTGATAAATAACACTGTGTTCGAATAGCGTCCTCGCTCAGGCGGGGCCTCCCTGGAGGGGTGGGAGGGGCACGAAACCTGAGAAATAACAGGTGATGCGAATACCCTCCTCGCTCAGGCGGGGCCTCCCTGGATGGGGTGGGAAGGGCACGAAACCTGATAAATAACAGGTGATGCGAATACCCTCCTCGCTCAGGCGGGGCCTCCCTGGAGGGGTGGGAGGGGCACGAAACCTGATAAATAACAGGTGATGCGAATACCCTCCTCGCTCAGACGGGGCCTCCCTGGAGGGGTGGGAGGGGCACGAAACCTGATAAATAACAGGTGATTCGAATACCCTCCTCGCTCAGGCGGGGCCTCCCTGGAGGGGTGGGAGGGGCACGAAACCTGAGAAATAACAGGTGATGCGAATACCCCTCCTCTCGCTCGGGGCCTCCCTGGAGGGTGGGAGGGGCACGAAACCTGATAAATACAGGTGATTCAATACCCTCCTCGCTCAGGCGGGGCCTCCCTGGAGGGGTGGGAGGGGCACGAAACCATGTAAATAGTATGGTATGCGAATACCCTCCTCGCTCAGGCGGGGCCTCCCTGGAGGGGTGGGAGGGGCACGAAACCATGTAAATAGTATGGTATTCGATACCCTCCTCGCTCAGGCGGGGCCTCCCTGGAGGGGTGGGGTGGGCACCCTCCTCGCTCAGGCGGGAACCATGTAAATATAAATAACATGGTATTCGAATACCCTCCTCGCTCAGGCGGGGCCTCCCTGGAGGGGTGGGAGGGGCACGAAACCTGATAAATAACAGGTGATGCGAATACCCTCCTCGCTCAGGCGGGGCCTCCCTGGAGGGGTGGGAGGGGCACGAAACCTGAGAAATAACAGGTGATGCGAATACCCTCCTCGCTCAGGCGGGGCCTCCCTGGAGGGGTGGGAGGGGCACGAAACCTGAGAAATAACAGGTGATGCGAATACCCTCCTCGCTATGGCTTGGTATTATGGTATGGTATGGTATGGCTTGGTATGGCTTGGGATGTTATTGGTTTGGTATGGTATGGTATGGTATGGTATTGGTATGGTATGGTATGGTATTGATATGGTATGGCTTGGTATGGCTTGGTATGGTATTGGTATAGTAAGGTATTGGTATGGTATGGCTTGGTATGGTATGGTTTAGGAGAAGGACGCGGGAGGAGGAGGAGAAGGAGAGGGTGTTCTGGGAAAACAAGAACCCCACTCAGGATGTGGGGAAAAAGAGCTACGCCGCGCTCGCATGCGGGTCCGACCCGGGATCGGCTGGCCACCCTGGGGCATTCGCTCTGGGGGCTCTCTTGGGGGACTTCGGGCGCTCCTCGGGATAGCTGTGAAGCCCTCCGGGAGCGTCTCCAAGAGCATGTTGGTGCGGAGCCCCCTCCGTATCCGTTTTTTGACAAGAGGGTGCTGAACGAAACTGCAATCCTCCAGAAACCTGACCCGACAAGAATGGGAAGCGCCGATGTTGCCCGTTTAGCTCGTAGGGGGTGGAACACAGAAAATGATGATGGCGACGACAAGGCGGCGGATGACGAGGATGACAGCGTGGGTGACGTGGAGGGCAGCCAGGGGAGCAGGAGGAGACCGAGTAGGAAAACAAGCACAAGGACGAGGAGGAAGAGATGGAGAAGGACGAGCAGGACGAGCACGAGGAGGAACGAAGCGGAGGGGGAAGAGGACATCGAAGGAGGACGGCAAGGAGCCCGAGGAAAAGGACGTCGAAGAAAGAGGGGAGGTCCCCGTGATCTTTTGAGGCTACCCAGGGGGCTGTTGGGGCCGTCTTGGGCTATCTTGGGGCATCCTGGAGGCCTCTTGGGGGCCTGTCGGGGTCCTCTTGGGGGCCACTGGGGTCGTCTTGGGCTGCCTGGGGATGTCTCACTGCTCGGTGGGGCCCTCTCAGGCCGTCTTGACACCATGTTGGGCCGTCTCGTGCCGCCTGGGGGCCTCCTGGGGCGCTCGTGGGAAACTGTCGGGGCCCTCGTGGTATCCTCTGGGGGGCCTTTGGGGGCTTGTTGGGCAGTCTTGAAGCCCTCTGGGAGCGATTCCAACATGATGCCGGCTCGGAATCCCGCCAGCGAGGCCCGGGATGGCTTCGGCATCCAGCAGCTCCCCCCCGAAAAAAAACACGCTACTGCAGACAAAAAACAGTCTACGCCCGAGGCGCTTCTGGCCATGCCGAGTGCAGTCTGGTAGGGTTTATAGAAGTATTCTAAGCCCCCCCCCCTGCCCTCGCACCACACTCAACTGTATGCATGGCCCCCCCCCATCCCCATTCTTCTCCCAGGGCTGTGTAGGCGCCCCGACGGCTCCCTGGCGCTCTCCAAGGTGCCCAAGATGCGCAAACGTGCTTTGAAGACGGCCTAGGCGGGCCACCAAGGCCGCCAACATTACCCAGGAATGCCTCAGGACGGGGCCAGGAGCCCCTCAAAAGGCCACAACATGTTCCAAGACATCCCTCAGACGCTCCCCTGGGGACCTCGAGAGGGCAACACGCACTGTTTCGCCACCCGTGTGGTTTACCAAGATTCTTGGATGTGGCACGCTTCGCTCGAAAATCTGTTCACTTGCGGCAGTCGAAGGCTCGAAGCGGGCCCACCCTAAGAGCTCCAAGCTGGCCCAAGAGGGTCTCCAGAGGGACCCAAGATAGCCCGAGATGGCCCCGACAACGGCCCCAAGAGACCCCCAGACGGCCAAGAGGGCGCCAAGAAGGCCCAAGAGGGCAAAAGAGTGCCCAGAGAAGGCATACGAGGGCCCCAAGGAATCCCCAAGACTGCTCCACAGGAGCCCAAGGCAGCCCCAACACGGCCCTATAAGCCCCACGAGATCTCCTCACGAAGTGCAGAATGAAGGAGCCAGATGTGACGGCCTTGCGGGCGATGCTCAAAGGGGCGGGAAACAGAGTGCGTCGCTGCCTGGCACGGTGGCGAACGCTGTTGGAGCCTGGAATCTGGCATCAACACCAACACAGAAATGGCGCCTCCATCGGGGGGCGATGGTCCTGCATAGTCCTGCTGGTGCTGGGGACCAGGGGGAGGCGACCGCGAGGACGTCGACGCCGCCGAGGGGGGGGGGAAGAGGGCAGGATCGAGGGCAGGAGCCAGGGGGGGGAGAGAACGGAGGGGGCGCGAAGACGGCTGGAGTCTCAGGAGGAGCTAGGCAAAGAGCTGATACCCCGCTGCTCGACCCGGGCCTTCGCTCGTGCCTGGTTCCGGCTGCAGCACCAGGTTTCCCGAGCCCTGGCTGTGTGGTGAACGTCAGGGCTGCAGCTCGGGCCCGAGGCAGGGTGGGAAGCCACAGGGCAGGGCGAGAAAGGCGTCATGACAAGACTGGCTCCAATAGTTGCAAAATGTCCCGCTCATCAGAACGAGGGACGGTAAGAAGAGAGGGAAGGGAGAAGGGAGGGGGGGCAGGGAGCGGATGGGAAGGACTAGGAGGAGGAGGAGGAAGAGGACGCGGGAGGTCGGCAGAGGGCGGGAGGAATT